TTAGCGAAATTTCCTTTTTTGCTACATGGCTTTCGCTACGTTCAGCAGAATCAGAACACCTTAGACCTGTTGTTCCAGCTCTCTTTTGGAAGAAGACAAACTGTCGAAGGTTGAAAAGAACTTACTTCTGACACGATTCTGCAAAGTGCCCAATACGATGGCATATGCGGCATTGACGATCGGTCGGTGCTGCACCCATCTGACACTCTCTTAATAGAGTCGCCTGTAATTACCCACATTAACAGGTGCAAACACTAGCCTGACATGAGCAAATGAACACCATTTTGACCCATGACCCATCCTTTCAGTGATGGCTTCCGAAAACCTGTCTTTGACGAGTTCTCGGCAATTCCAATCCAGTGGCTGCGGGGCTACGCCTACTATCATCGAAAGCAGAAAATTAGGCCACTAAAATTTTTCCGACACCGCTAGTACGCTGTAAGCTTTCTAAAGGCGGTTTTTATTATTTTCCGAATTCTCCCAGTTAATCTAATATCACCTTGAAGCGAAACCTCGATTAACAAAGCAAAAAAATTCTCCCAGTGGTTCTCGAACTAATTTGAAATAGAAAAAAGGACTTCCTAGAAGAAAAGAAAAATGAAGGGGGGGGGTCAAAAAAAGAAAAGAAGAAATGCCCTAGATTGTATAAATGTAGACTCCTTGATCAGATAACTTACCGCGTAGGCATCACAGAACATGAGGGGCATTTCCTGGTCAACTGTGTGTTTCTTTCCTTCGAGGAACTTTGACCGAACATCCGACAACATGAACAGCTTACGAGACTTGTGAATGTTGCGAACGATGAATACAAACACTAAATAATAACTCTGTATGTACGAAATTTCAATTCTTTATCTTTATCTTTATCTTTGTAATCAAATTCTTTAATAACTAAATGGCTGTTTTGGAGAGAAAAAAGACATTGACTATAACATCCATTGATTTCTACTCATCGACCCAACTTGAACTTCATAGTAAAGGCGAATGCATACAATGTCAAATATATATTTTCAAAAAAAGCTGAGTTGGGGTGAAATGGTGCCCCGGTGGTGTAACTGGTAGCACAATTGCCCGGAAAGCAAGAGATCCGGGTACGAATCCCGGCTGGGGCGAAAGTTTTGCCCACAACTCAGCATTCTTGTGATAAAATATGTTCCCTCTACGATTCAGAAAAGACAACAAATCCTAGCGCCTTGCTTTCTCGTTTTCTGAATATATCACGATATTATGGCTTTTCATCGGCCGTTTTTCCAATCAGTAGTGTTCCATCCACCCAGACCAATCCAGTACTAACCCGACTACTAGTTATGAAAGCCTTATGGTCCGTTACTCTCAAATTGAGCGAAACTCAGTTTTGCGGAACAGATTAGAGGCCTCTGTCCTTTGCCCAGCTTAACTGAACCGGCCATATACAGAGTAAACGCTAGATAAACAACCTTTTGACCCGATAGTCTTGAAAAACTAAGCCTGTGTTAGCTCAAAAATGTAAGTTTCCTAGCATCGCATTTTTGGGTTTTGAAAATTATCTTTCAAACTTTTTCTGATTCTATTCACTATTTATGCAACGATAGGCTCATACAGCGTCTACTAAGCAACTCAGACTGATAGAAAACAACTCACTTTTCCTCGAGACACCTGATCCCAAGTTATGGTGTAGATCGAATGGATCTTCTATGCACAACGGACGATTCCAATCCTTTTCCATTTTCAACAAAGGTTTCTTGCGACGAATTTGAACAACCTATAAGATTGACGAACTAAAAATTGATAAAGGCGTACTATGAAGACAAAAAGACAACATAAATTAACAAAAGGCTTCTTTTTCAACCTTCAACCTTTGGGTCATGACGTGTAACTTTGCGTATAAAAATCACTGGCCCTGATGAAATCTAATCAAAACTTCTACATATTGACAAGCTTCCCTCTGAATGATATCGATTTCGAAGTAGGAATTGTAAAGAATATACAAATCACGTCATTTCAGGCTTTTTTTCTGAATGAAGCAGAGAAATTGGTTTCTTATGTCGCAAAGTGGCAACTAGCCAAGTTCGTGAATGCGCGAAAACTTTTCCGAAAAAGGAAACAAAACTTCATTGACAAAACACTACAAATATTTTAACAAATTGCTGGTT